AAACAACGTTCATAACCAAACCTCCTGAATTTTAAGGAAACAAAACATTTAAAGTATTCAAAGTAAACACTTTACTGTTTGTTTGTTAGAAGAAGATGAGTTGGTCACAGGAGGAGTGAGGAAGTGAGGATGTGAGTAAGTGAGGAGGCATAAAGTCTCAGCATCCTCAGGTTTCTCTCTAAACTCCGACCTGTTGAGGACGACTTGAGGATTTACAGAACCTGTATTTGATGTGATCAGGTGTTGATGATAAATATCGACTGTCAGGATTTAATCATGTGACTCTGACTCTTTAACAACAACATTGATATATATATTATGTATATTATATTTATTATGTTTATTATGTTTATCTAGAACCAAGAACACAGAACCGTTCAGCAGCAGGTCAGAGAAGAACGAGGTGGAAACAGGAAGTCAAACACAATACACTCGTTACTCTGTACTGTGTGTGTGTGTGTGTGTGTATGTGTGTGTGTGTGTGTGTGTGTGTGTGTGTGTGTGTGTGTGTTTGGGGGGTTCTTCCTTTAATTGTATTTGGGAATGTCAGGAATTCAACAGATCAGTCCAGATGTGTTTAACCTCCTGATGAAATGTTTTACTGTTAGTATTTGTATAAGTATTAGCAGTAGTACTAGTGTTATTTTTACTGTTAGTATTAGCATAAGTATTAGTATAAGTATTAGTATTAGTATAAGTATTAGTATTAGTATTAGTACAAGTATTAGTATTGGTATGGCTATTAGTATTAGTATTAGTATAAGTATTAGAATTAGTATTAGTATAAGTATTAGTATTAGTATGACTATTGGTATTAGTATTAGCATCCAACATGTTCTCAGGATGAAGAACAAACTTTAACTCTAAAGTCAGAGAGCTACTTTCAAACTTTATTGTCAACTGAGTGTTTCATTTTGGTTTTTGCTTTGTATACAGTCTTTTGTGCTTTATTTGGTTTATTTGGTTTTATAGTAGTAGTAGTTTATTATTTTCTAAATTTTTATCTGTTATTGTTGGTCTGCTGCTGTTTTACATCAAGTTGATCTGCTTAACTGATGACTTTATATGTAATTTATATGGTTCAGATGAAAATGTATTTAGAAAATATAAAGTCTTGTTTTAGTCCATAAACTTAATTAATTAATGAAGACAGTTTTAGTTCAATAAATATCTGCAGCCACCAGGAGGCGACATCAACAAAATGCTGTTTAATGGACCTTAGAAGAAGAAGAAGAAGCAGCAGCTGATCACCTGACTGAGTTAAACACAGAATGATCACACTGAAGACAACATGTCGTTCATCACAGCCAACTGGAACCCGCTGGGTGAAGCTTTCTATCGGTCAGTTTATCTCTGGTTTACTGGTCAGACAGCAGTTAGCATTAGCAGCTAACATTAGACAGCAGTTAGCATTAGCTTTGCAGCTAACAACACACTGCAGCTGTACATAAGCTGTCATTACATGTTAGCCGTTAGCTCGCTGTGGGCTGCTAACGTGACTCTGTTAGCCTGTTTGTTAGCGGTCTGTTAGCCTGTTTGTTAGCGGTCTGTTAGCCTGTTTGTTAGCTGTCTGTTAGCCTGTTTGTTAGCTGTCTGTTAGCCTCAGGTGAGTTATCTTCAAGACAAAAAAAAATCAGAAGACTTTTAGCTTCAGAATCCACCTTCAGTCACGTTAACAAGGTTTTTAAAACTTCACTGAGAAACACTGCAGCTTTAAATGTTGAACTTTTTAAATGGAGTCTGGTGAAAAACAACAGAAGTTTAATATGAGCTGAGATAATTAATCATCATGTTTATGTTTGTGTTTGTTTTCAGTAAAAGTGAACTTTATGAGATGAGCTGGAACCTGAAGGATGGACTCAGAGACTGTCTGGTGTCTGCAGCGCCTTATGGAGGTCCAATAGGTATACACACGTATACACACATACAAACACACACTCACACACAGATACTGTCTGGTGTCTGCAGCGCCTTATGGAGGTCCAATAGGTATACATACATACAAACACACACTCACACACAGATACTGTCTGGTGTCTGCAACGCCTTATGGAGGTCCAATAGGTATACATACATACAAAAACACACTCACACACAGATACTGTCTGGTGTCTGCAACGCCTTATGGAGGTCCAATAGGTATACACACATACAAACTCACACACAGATACTGTCTGGTGTCTGCAGCGCCTTATGGAGGTCCAATAGGTATACACACATGTATACACACATACAAACACACACTCACACACAGATACTGTCTGGTGTCTGCAGCTCCTTATGGAGGTCCAATAGGTACACACATATGTATACACACACACAGTAACAAACACACACTCGCACACAGATACTGTCTGGTGTCTGCAGCGCCTTATGGAGGTCCAATAGGTACACACATGTATAGACACACACACACTAACACATAAACACGAATGCACTCATTATAAACATTCAACGATAACAATGAAAGGAGTAACAGTGTTTTCATAAAGTGTCGATGTTCCATTGTGTCTCAGCTCTCCTCAGAGAACCTCACAGACGTTCTCCGAGCTCTCGTCCTCAGTTAGAGATTTATTCTGCGTCTGGAGTCTCCATCGCCAGCTTCCCGGTAAACACACACCTGTCCTCATGAACCAATCACTTCCTTCTTCATTGTTAGTGTTATTATTGTCTCCTCGAAGCAAGGAAAGGAATCGAGGAGATCAGTTAGAAAACAAAGTGTTCTCCATCTTCTCCTCGCTCCTCGGGTTCTACCAACATTCTCATGTGGTGGAACCATGTTTGTGTTACAGCATGGTATTAATCAGTAACTTAGTACTAATGTACATAAAGAATTATGTACAACTTGATGCTGCTTTCTATATTTCTGTAATATCAAACTAATTTATTCGAATAAGAAGGGTTTTCCAAAAGCTTGGGTGGTGTTCGTGGTTAGATTCCACTGTATTATGATAATACTGTCAGTTGTCTGTAATGAGCTCCCTGTCTCTCTCTGTACCCGTCTGTCTCTCTCTGTACCCGTCTGTCTCTCTCTTTCAGTGGAAGAGTGGTCCGGTGGTCCACTTGGGTTGGACGGTTAATGATGAGCTGTTGTGTATTCAGGAGGACGGATCAGTTCTGATCTACGATCTGTTCGGATCCTTCAAGAGACACTTCAGTATGGGACAGGTCAGTCTGTTAACTAGTCTGTTAACATGTTAACTAACATGTAGTTAGTTTGTCAGAGTTAATGTTGTGTGCTTGTTGTTGTTGTAAACAGGAAGTGGTCCAGAGTCAGTTGTTAACATGTTGTTGTTGTTGTTGTTGTAAACAGGAAGTGGTCCAGAGTCAGTTGTTAACATGTTGTTGTTGTTGTTGTAGTGAACAGGAAGTGGTCCAGAGTCAGTTGTTAACATGTTTTTGTTGTTGTTGTAAACAGGAAGTGGTCCAGAGTCAGGGCCCCGTTCCTCGTACGTGGTTCAACTAAGTCGATCAAATGTCCTATTAGCAGCCTAAATTAACGAGATGATTGAAGTCAGGCTATCTCGGTTTCTCCAAGGCTGATCCTCTCAAACAGTCTCGTTAATTGGAACCAGACGATCAGGATCAGGATAATTGCGCGTGCCCGTCCTACTTCAAAAGGGGGAAGCGTCGATCACCGAAACCATGATTTTCTAACAGTACAATGTCAAATAAAGTCAATGAAAGAGCCTCTTTTTACTCCGCTGACGAGCAGGAGATGATCATGAACGCATATGAGGAATTCAAGACCATAATCACGGCAAAATCTAACACCTCCACCGCTGCGAGGGCTAGACAAGAAGCACGCAAAATATCTCAGACAAGTTAAATGTGTAAGTGTTGGGCTTAATGAATGCATCATCCAATGAGATCTATAGCGACAATAATGATCTCAACTCTTTCAGAATAAGTAATAAAAACAAGCGCAAAGAGTATCTAACTAACAGGATATATGTACTGTATGCCCTCATGTATCATGTACTATATATGTGTATATGCATGTATGTGTAGATTACCATATAGAACTAGCAGTTTGAATATGTGTGTGTGAATCTGTGTGTGGGCGGATCAGTGTGTGTATGTGTGTATTATTCATCATCAGACATTCAATCAACTGAAGCAGTGAAGATAAATAGTGTGTGATTCTCTCTGTTCTTATCATGAGTCCACCTTCATCATGTTCTACAGTAATGATATGCTGGTGTACTAATAACACTGTCATATCATTATGAGTGCTTTAACCCTCATGTATGCAACGCAGCCATCAAGAGGACATGGGAGCAAGTAAACACTAACACACACACATTACTCAGAATGCTGAGTCAGTACAATATGTCCCAATGTAATGAACACATCCATAAGTTTATTAAGCGCCAAATAAACTGTACGAACAGCACGGCATGCAGCGGCTTTCCCCATGTTCTCCGCATCGCCGACACTGTAAAACAATGTACCACTCGCAGAACAGCTCAAGGCTGCATCCAGTCTGTGAGGCATCAATGCTCGACTGCGGCGTGTGGTGTTCAATGTATGCTCCAGAAGGTCTGTAAATAAATATCCTGAAAAGTATCCGGCTAACTCAGTTAGCCACATACGAGGAACATATGACATACCCTGTCAGGTGTTAACATGTTGATGTTGTTGTTGTTGTTGTAAACAGGAAGTGGTCCAGAGTCAGGTGTTAGAAGCCAAAGTTTTCCACTCTCCTTATGGAACAGGGGTCGCCATAGTAACGGGCTCATCACGCTTCATCTTGGCGACGAACATCGACGACCTGAAGCTCAGAAGGTTACCTGAAGTCCCAGGTAGGTCACACCTGTTCACCTCTTAATCTGGGTTATAGTGTTGAACTGAATCTAAACTGTCTGTCTGTCTGTCTGTCTGTAGGTCTACAGGGGAAACCGGCCTGCTGGGTCGTCCTGAACCAGGACAGACAGACTAAAGTCCTCCTGTCCAACGGACCTGAACTCTACATCCTGGATAACACGTCCTGTACTGTGGTGGTGAGAGAGATAGTTAGTTAGTTAGTTAGTTAGAAAGGGACAGACGCAACTAACCTCACCTGTCTGTTTTCCACGTCCTCCAGGTCTCAGTCTACATGCCATTGTCTTTTAGTTTTACAGACAGGTAAACAGACAGACAGGTAACTAACCTCACCTGTCTTTGTACCCGTGTGTCCTCAGTGTCCTCCAGGTCTCGGTCCTCAGGCCGGCAGTATCGTCCACATGTCTGTGTCTTTCAGCTATAAATACCTGGCTCTCTTCACTGACTCTGGACACCTGTGGACAGGCCCTTCCCATCTCCAGGTGAGCTGCTCCAACTCGCTGTTTGATCTGACCTGAGGCGGCGGTGTCTGTGTGAATGGTTGACAGGTGCTTCTGTGTCTGCAGGACAAAATGAGTGAAGTCGACACTAAGAAGTCGACCCCTCCCAAACAGATGGTCTGGTACGTCTACCTGTCTGTCTACTTTTATGTTTACCTATTTAACCTGGTTATCTGTCTTATGTACCTGTTTTAGTTTGTACATCTATACCTGTCTGTTGGCCATCTATTTACCTGTCTGTCCTTGTGTTTGTCTGCTTCTTACTGTTTACCTGTCTGAATACTGACCTGTCTCACTATCTGTACCTGTCCAGGTGTCGCAGACCAAAGAGTCAGCAGCCGTCTGTGGTGTTGATGTGGGAGAGACTGCTCATGGTGGTCGGAGTGTGTCAAGACACCATCCAGTATCCTTTAAACCAGTTCAGACTGGAACCACAACCCAACTACGTCAGCCTGGTGCTCCAGGTATTCGTTATTGTTCTCCTGGAGCTTGTTATTGTTCTCCTGGAGCTTGTTGGGGTTCTCCTGGAGCTTGTTGGGGTTCTCCTGGAGCTTGTTAGGGTTCTCCTGGAGCTTGTTATTGTTCTCCTGGAGCTCGTTATTGTTCTGTTGGAGCTCGTTATTGTTCTGCTGGAGCTCGTTATTGTTCTGTTGGAGCTCGTTATTGTTCTGCTGGAGCTTGTTGGGGTTCTCCTGGAGCACGTTATTGTTCTGCTGAAGCTTGTTAGGGTTCTCCTTGGACTCGTTAAGCTGGTTTTATGTTAAAGACCCTCTGTCTGGTCAGGTGACGGTTGATCCTTGACCCTTGACCTCAGGTTCCCCATAGAGGACCAGTGTGTTTTGGTCGGAGAGCTGGACGGAGTTCGCATCATCAGCTCGACCAATCAGGAGCTGCTTCAGGAGGTTCCTCTGGTCTGTCAAGACATCTTCAAAATCGCCTCCATGGCTCCTGGAGCTCTGCTGCTGGAGGCCCACAGGGAGTACGAGGTAACAACCCTTCTGTCTGAAAGAACAACAAAGTCGGTCTCACTGCATGTTTCTCTGATGATGAATATTTCTGTTTTTTTTGTGTAGAAGTCAAGTCAGAAGGCTGATGAGTACCTGAGAGAGATCAAGGAGCAAAGCATGCTGGGAGAAGCAGTCCGACAGTGCGTTGATGCAGCAGGACACGAATACGACACAAACACGCAGAAATCCCTGATGAGGGTAAGAACATGAGAACATCCGCCGGGTTCTGTACATTGTGTCATTGTTCTAAGGTGGGACATGTTTTTGTTCTTACACTGTCTCTCGTCCACTAGGCAGCGTCCTTCGGTAAGTGCTTCCTCACAGACTTCAGTCCCGATCCATTTGTGTCGACCTGCAGAGAACTCAGAGTGCTGAATGCCGTCAGAGAGATCAGCATCGGGCTGCCGCTCACTCACACTCAGTATCCTCTCGCTCAAGTGCATCATGGGACATGTAGTGTACCTTTTTAATTTATGTGTAAAATCTGCTTTTAATCTGTCGTGATTGGGGGGGTTAGTGACTGATGTCATCATCTGATGTTTGACCACCGGCCAATCATATGGTAACGAGCTCCTTGACATCTGACCTCAGATTCAAACAGCTGACTCTACAGGTGCTGATCGACAGGTGAATCAGCTCATCCAACCTATCTTTCTGTCTCACCTGTCCATCTCTCTTGATCTGGAGGCGACTGTGGCTAAGTGGAGAGCAGGGCTGCCCTTCAATCAGATGATCGGCGGTTCAATCCCCGGCTCCGCTAGTCGCATGTCGATGTGTCCTTGAGCAAGACACTTAACCCCCCAAAACTGCTCCTGTAGCTGTGCCTACGGTGTAGAAATGTGATAGAATCTGGATTGGAAGTCGCTTTGGTTAAAAGCGTCTGCTAAATGAATGTAATGTAATCTGTCGTCCTCTCACCTGTCTGTCTCTGTACCTGTCTGCCTCCCAGGTTGGTGTATCGACAGTTTTATCCATTAGCGATAGAAATGTGTCGTTACCTGAAGATTCCAGATTATCAGGGAGTCAGCAGAGTCCTTAAACACTGGGCTTCATGCAAGGTAAACTGACTCACCTGTCTCACGTGTCACACCTGACTCAACTGTCTCACCTGACTCTGGTTCAGCTTCAGAATGTTTGGCTGCATTAACACTGCTCATTACTAACTCACCTGTGACTTCAGGTGCAGCAGAAGGACCTATCGGACGAGGCCATAGCCCGATCCGTGTGTGTAAAGGTGGGAGACTCACCTGGTGTTTCTTACTCGCACATCGCAGCTAAAGCTTACGAATGTGGACGCACTGAGCTCGCCATCAAGGTAACAAGTTGTACCTGTATTGATTAGTGTTGTATACACACACAGTGTGAGTTATATACCTGTGTGTTACCTGTATAGAAACACACACATACTGACTGTCTTTCTTATACCTCTATGTCAGCTATTGGACTTCGAGGCTCGCTCAGGTGAGCAGGTTCCTCTGCTGTTGAAGATGAAGAGGAGTCAGTTGGCTCTCAGTAAAGCTGTGGAGAGTGGAGACACTGACCTAGGTGAGTGTCTGCTAGCCCCGCCCACCTGTCTGTCAGGTAGATGACGTCACCTTGATGGTTTCCTGTGTTCCCAGTTTACACAGTGGTGACGTACCTGAAGAACGAGATGAACAGAGGAGACTTCTTCATGACTCTGAGGAACCAACCTGTCGCACTGAGCCTCTACAGACAGGTGCTCTTCATCATCATCACTGTTATTATTCTGTCCTTTATTGATCATGTAGGTGTTGATCATGTTGTATTTCTGTTTTAGTTCTGTAAACTGCAGGAAACAGAAACTCTGAAGGACCTTTATAATCAGGATGATGACCACCAGGAACTCGCCAACTACTACGTTACTGCTAGTTATAGAGAAAAGGTACCAACAGGTTTTACTCTGATGTGGACTAAAGAACCAGACCAAGACAACCTCAGATTTGGATCTAGGTCTGATTCCTGTCTGTCTGTCTGCAGAGGTTAGAGAACCGTCTGTCTCTGCTGCAGAGTGCTGTGGATGAATACAACAAAGCCAAGAACGAGTTTTCTGCAAAGGTAAAACACACACACATATCTATCTATCTATCTATCTATCTATCAATCTCAAAGCTGAAACTCACACAAATGCTCTGTTTACAGGTGTGATCAGTTTAATAACAGTCCATCATTGACATTCTAACTTTAAATATTCTGTCTACAGGCTACAGAGGAAGAGATGCGTCTCCTACGTTTCCAATGCAAACTTGATGACGAGAAAGGGGCGGGGCTACTGGAACTCTCTCTCCAGGTATTTAAAGGGGCGGGGCCACTGGAGTATCTCTAAAGTTTTTTTTTTTTTAGTTTTTTATTTATTGCAAGACAGACAATACATAGACATAACACCAAGAGGATGACAAGTACAGTGGGATACAAGCCAGCAAACATCATATAGTCAGTAATCTCTACAGGTATTTGAAGGGGCGGGGCTACTGGACTGTCTTGGTACGTGAAGGGGCGGGGCCACTCGAATGTGTGAGTAGTTCAGTTTCTCTTGGTCCTCAGGTGCCTCAGGTCATTTTAATTCGACTGACTCTAAGACCCAATCCCAATGTCGTCCCCCCCCTTATGGACTCACGGACTTTGAGGTGCGCTCCCGCTAAGTCCGTGAGGGTTTCGGGATGTCCCACTGTCAGATCGAGTGTTTCAGGGCTCTCTTGCAGACATTTTGAGCCCTTTATGAAACCTTTCCATAAGGGAATTGCCCACAAATCATTGTAATGTGACGTTAAACACGGGGTAACCAGTAGACGCATGGAGACGTAAACAAAGAGGACGGTTCAGCCTGGAGTATTAAATTTACTGAGAAACATTTAACAAGGGTTAAAGATGGAACAAAAAATAAACTTCAAATCAGAGAATATTTATGTATTTATTCATCAAATATTTGATTTTGTTATTGAAGCCGTTTTGACAAAACGAGTAAATAGATTATATGAGATGACCTCATCTTGTGAGGAAAGAGCCTGAAGAGTTAATATCAGGGAGTACAAAGTATAAAATAAATACACACATTTGTACATCATATTTTTTGTTGTTTTCATGGTAACGTGATATTGTAGTGGGATGCGACCTGCTATGCTGTTCTACCAGCCACTAGCTCCCTGGGTCGGCTTAGTGGTCGTACAGTCTAGTGTTTGAAAGTATATTTTTTACTTGCATTCTATACTGCCTGGGGAAGCTCCAGCTTCAAGATTACTTTACTACAGATAGATTTAAGCATAAAACGTAACCCTGAATAACCCACGTTAGAATCCTATGTATCTCCGTTATGTGCTACGTTATGTGAAGCAGTGGGATGACAGGTTTAGCTTTATGAAGTCCTCTCACTATGGGATAAGATATGCCCAATCATTTAATGGGGCTTATCTTGTTACCATAGTTAATGTATACAAGACCGGTGGATCTACCATACGCAAATGGCAACCTGGTTGTGATCACTTACTTGTTATGTCTTTTAGTCTGAAGTCTCCGAGTCACTCTCTGCAGGGACGTCAGTGAGTAGGGCCACCCGGAGCGTTCTGCGCCTTGTTATGCCGTGGACCAAGCACTTCAAAGTGCTTTTTAACACAGGACTCCCCTCTTATGTGGATTTCCAACCTCGTATTACAGAGGTTGTTGGTTTTATTTTATGAACGTAATATACAGGTTATGGCACAAAGATCCCTGTCGGAGGAAACCCTCTAGAGAATCGTTTTGTGTGAAAACAATGGAAATATATGGATAGTTTAGACTCCTACCGGAGGGAAAATACCTCTAGAGCAGGGGTCTCAAACTCATTTTCACTCCGGGCCACATCAGCATCATGGTCGCCCACAAAGGGCCGGTTGTAAATGTAACTACTTGTAACATATTGTTAGATAACTCTCTGCATTTGATTATTGTTTATTCAAGTGTAAAAATATTGTACATGCAGTTATATAAATGTAAAATATATTTAAGCACATTTGTTATTATAACTTAAATCCTTTTAATGTAGGGTTAAGAAACCCACATTACTCTATCAAAGATCAAACTATTAAAGAAAATAGCAAAGACAAATATCAAACACAAGTTATTACAATAACTTTATTCAATGCTTAAAATCCTTTCAAGGGTGCGTTTGCACAATCCCACGTGAAGTATTTCATGTGTTTTAAAGACATGTTTAAAGTAGTCTTCAATGTACTCACAATACATTTCCATTTCAAATGTACAGTAACCAGCCAAAGAGCTGCTTCTGTGACTGTGTTTAAGTATTTCATAATTTTGACTTTCAATCTCAGAATTCTGACTTTCTATCATAGTTATGACTTTCTATCTCTTAACTTCGACTTTGGGGATATTTTTATTATCAAGTCTAACTTTAAAAAATTAATTTTTTATTTTTTTTTGCTGGCGGATTCGCGGGCCACATAATATGACGTGGCGGGCCGGATTCGGCCCGCGGGCCGGGAGATTGAGACCCCTGCTCTAGAGAGTCGTGTTAGAATACCTAGCAAAGGAACCCTTCACGGTATTATGTTGAAATGTAAGATACTTCCTACCAAAGGAACCCTTCAGAGAAGTGTATAGAGGGGTGAAATCACACTACAATAGGAAACCCTATTGTAGTGTGGAGTCCAAAGCTTAAGCAAGAGAGCAAAAGTTGAACAGAAGACAGAGCGAAATGTCACTGCTTATCCTCCTCTAGTCCTCCGCTAAAAGTGGATGTAGGAGGCGCCTGCCTCTAGCGCGTGGCCGCTGAAGCGGGGACGAGCTCTGCTGAGTATGAGAGCAGCAAAGGTGGGGGCTGACCATATTTGGGTAGTCGGTGTTTCCTGCCTCTAGCAGCGAGCTCTGCGGTGGAGGAGCAGCAAAGGTGGGGGCTGACTGTGTTTGGGTTGTCAGTGTTTTCATATCCTGACCAGCGCAGCCGTCAACAATATGTTGCAGCAAAGTGCTGTCCCGTTCATATTTACACCATCTCAAGCCCTCACAGTCTCTCACACTCAACCACTCACCAGGTGACCTCAGTAAGTCCTTGAGGGTTCAGGGTCTGAGGCTTTAGGGGGGACATTGGGACTGGGCCAATGACCTTGTTATTACTTCTTAATTTGAAGAAATGATACCAGACAGGATGTAGTCACAGCCTTTCCTGTGATGTCACTTCCTGTTTGTCCAGGCGACCATGGAGGCTCTGCTGGCTTTAGGACTCCACAAACAAGCAGAACAGCTGTACAAAGACTTCAGGGTACCTGACAAAAGGTGAGATGCTGCTTTTAGCTTCATGATGCTAGAACACACGACGACGATATGTTGATATGGTGATCGAGTAAAGCTTATTAAAGATATTCTGTCATTATTCTAGTAATGCATGAAGCGCTAAGATGCTCTAAAACCTCTCTGCTGGTCTCACCTGTCTCTGTGTCTCTGCCGGTCTCACCTGTCTGTCTCTCTCGCTGTCTCTCTGCCGGTCTCACCTGTCTGTCTCTCTGCCGGTCTCACCTGTCTGTGTCTCTCGCTCTACTTCTCTCTCTGCTGGTCTCACCTGTGCAGGTATTGGTGGTTAAAACTGAAGTCTTTGGCGGAGAAGGAAGAGTGGGAGGAGTTGGAGAAGTTCTCAAAGAGCAAGAAGTCTCCTATTGGCTACCTGGTAAGCCCCACCCCCTTTAGCCGTAACCTTTTAAATAAAAGATAAAACTACGTTTCCCATGATTCTTAGCATTGACTCTTCTTCAGGCTTTTGTTGAAGTGTGCATGAAGAGTAACAATAAGTACGAGGCCAAGAAGTACGTTTCCAAGGTCGCACCTGAGCAGAGGGTCAAAGCTCACCTGGCCGTCAGGTAAGACTCAGAGCACCGGTGACATCATCACTCAGGTGAGACCCGACCACTCAAGTAACTCTCTTCTCATCCAATCAGTGACCTGGAAGGTGCTGTGAATGCCGCCATCGAGAGGAAGAATGAATCTGAGATGGGGGCGGTCCTCTCCAGATGCTCCGCCTCCGACCGCCTGTTGATTGACAGGTTGAACCGAGCCAGACCCTCAACTGCCAAAAAGTGATCCTCCATTCAGAGTGGGTGAACAGAGGCAGCTGATGGTCTGCTGCCAAATAGTGATCTTCAGCTAAGAACCAGTTTCTTCTTCATGTGCTTTAATGTCAGAACTGACACATCTGATCATGTTGTTGATCTGTGGTGATGTTTTCTTCTTCTGCGTTTCTGTCTCAGACCCCCCTCCTGTTCATATCGATCTTATTTTATTGATCACTGATCATTTGTATCACACTTGTATAGTTTCATTTCCTGCTGTTGCTGCTTTATATTAAAAGCCCTCCACCAGTGAACCAGCGGTTGTTTTATTGTGAAAAGCTACAGGAAATGTGATGTTTTTCTGATGTTTGTTCTGCAGACTTTCTACATTTAATGTTGTTTTTGTTTGTTTATATTCTGCTTGTTTACTGTAAAACATGTGAATCGGATCTGATTATTTTTATCATTTGTTTGCTTTATTTCTTGTTTATTTTACTTGAAGCTTCATCTTCAATACAAAGTTGTCTCTGGAGCTTTCACGCCGGTCTCATGGTCTTCCTGATTAGATCACATGAAGTTTATATCGTTTGAAATGTTAATGAATAAGATGAAATATTCTGATGTTTGTAAATCAGTTTAACATGTAAATGAATAATATATCGATAAGAAAGAATGCTTTATCAGGTCGGAACCGTTCCATTCATAACTTTGCTGAGTCAGTACTTCCGTTTTTTGTGGGCGGAGCCATCAGATGAGCTGATCCAAAGTAACAAAACAAAGTACTTTGATCCGGCCGAGAGTTCTACTACTTAAAAATACTTCAGAAGGAATTAACGTTACTGCGGACTGTAAGTTATCAGGTACGTTGTCTTTTTTCCTCGAATGTGTACTAGTACACAAAGTACACGTCCTAAAGTAGTACTGCGTGTGTTTAAAAGTATCTGAAGTCCAGCGGTTTAAAGACGACTCGGTCTGAAGAGTGACGTGACGTCAGAACTCTGTCACGTGTTTCTAAAGTGATCGATTTTGAGCCGAATGTAGAAAAGTCGAAAGATTGTCTGACGTCAGTTGAACTGCAGTAGTTTGTGACGTGTGGATGAGCAAGGCAGCAACAAAAAGAGACGGAATGTTAACAGAGTCTGGTGAGAGAACTGCTGAGTCAGTACCTGTTGAAAGTATCAAGTACTACGTTTTAGGGTTCGAGCAGTATAGTATGCAGTACTCACGCTCTGATTATCGACTTGATGGATTGTAATGTGTATTAAAACGTTCTTTATCCTAGTATTACTGCATATTCTAGTGTCGGTAGTATCACAGTACTGTAAAACATATGCAGTACTTATTGTCTGTACATGTGGTATTATGTAGTACAATGACATCTAGTGGTAGCCTACTACATGTAGTATGTTCAGTTATTCCGTGTTGTATGTATACATGTAGTATCTTAATGTGGTAAATGTAGAGTACAGTGTAGTACTCTACTAAAATATTACTTAAAATGTTACTACACTATGTGTAATGATATATATTAGCTTAGTACTTAGAAACATGCAGATTATTCATGTTATATGTAGTACTCTAACATGTACTGTCGAGTCATATAGTACTAGTATATTATATAGTACATCACAGAGTACTGTATAATAGTGTAGTACTTTTTAGTACTCATAAATTGCTAGTATAGTGTTTTTACAATATATTGTGCAGGACTTTATATAATGTATAAATTATGTAGCGCAGTATGTGGTACTAAAGTGACATAGTACTAGTTTTAGATATCAAATATTAATTGACGTAACATTTAATACTATGTAACACACTGTGGTACTGTGTAGTCACAATAGTGAGGTACATTATACTACTAAAACGTGTAATTATTATTTATATATATGTATATATATATATATGTATATATATATACATATATATGTATATGTATATATATATATGTGTATATATATATACATATATATGTATATGTATATATATATGTATATGTATATATATCCATAAAATTTTTACTTTTTTCTCAATTTTTGTGTGTAGCTGAGGGTAGATACTGGTCGGATGCTGACCGCACGTTACTCTTACATTGCGTTGTCACTGGTAAGGCACAGCAGGCATACGCCGTGCTCAGTGTGGCTGCTAGTAATCACGTGGAATGGCTCAGATTGGGGATTACGCAGAGTTTTATGGTTTCAGGGACATCAGAACTGCAGCACAGGGAATCTCTGTGGAGTCTGTGGCCCTCATCCAATCAGACCTCAGTATTAAGTTTGCATGGAAAGTCACACGTAGGTGTGATTTAACGTTTACCGGGGGTTGGTAGAAATCTTAACTCAAATCAGGCTGCTGACTGCTCTGCAGGCCCAACTCAGATTCCTTTATTCAAACCACATGGCGAGACCACATCCACAATGTCCCAACACCTGCACCACCGACACGCCTGCACCACCGTGTTGAGATTTCACCATGTGCTCTGAACAAAGGGGCTTGCAGGGCCTGCAGAGCAGTTAATAGCCTGATTTGAGTTTAAGATAACGCCAAGCTCCAGGAGATGTAAGTCGCGTCTAAGTGACTTTTCATCCAAACTCAACACTGGGGTCTCATTGGACGAGAGCCACAGACACCCTAGGGCTTCCTGCGCTGCACCCTAACCCTTTTAAGAATTTGTGAGTATGGTGAAACTGCAGCCTACCAGAATTGGATATCTGGTAGAATGGTAAAATGCAGGCGGGCCGTGCATGTTATACCTGGGCCTTCACTGCTGTCCTGCAGCTGAAACACAGCTACGGTCATTATTTGTTCAGTGTAAAAATGAAGCCAACACCTGTCTGCAGAGAATATGCCTGGAGTGCGTCTCCGCTCTGACTGCTGTGCGAGTTACCGCCTGTGAGCTTTGGGGAGAAATTCGCGAAATTCGAGAAATTCGCCAAGTTGCCAACACTGGCACCGGCTAAATATGTCCCGAGAGCAACACTGGACATAACAATAGTTCCTATCACATATTAAACCAAACAAAAATCCAATCTTCATAAAAACAAGTTGTACAAATAATAATATATAAACAAGCATATTAAAGCTACTGCAGATGTACAAACAAACACATTTAACTTACCAGAGCTGCTGTTCACTATTTAAAGACAAAGTGCATCCTCCTTTCTTTGTTAACAAAGAGTTTAATCTCACGGTTGTTCAGTACATCCGTGTGTTTTAGTTCCGGTAAGAAGTCCTTCTCCATTCATGGACGCCAGTGAAGTCGAGCCTCCCCAGTTGTATTTCTTGAAGACGTTTTAATGCGTTTGACACAGTTTAACACAGTTGTTTCGGTTTATGTTTGAGTGTTTAAATTGGTTTACTTATGTTTGTAAAGAATACATTGCTTCCTTTTAGCAGCCAGCTTGTTGTCTGCCTGGTTTGTCTCAGTCTCTGAGCCGGGCTGTGACAATGGAAACAGTGTGTGAGGTGAATCCCCTTCTATGATTGGTCCAGACAGCCAGTTGATGATGTCATCGGTGAAGGTAGAGTGCGTGGTGAAGGCGAGCGCTTTGATTGGTGAAGGGCCAGTGTGGGAGGAGTCAGAGCAGACGCTGCTGTTTGTCGACATCGGCGGGCAGAAAATCCACCGCTGGAGTCCATCGACCAATCAGATCCAGTCTTTGGAAACAGGTCAGCCAATGAGAACCGTTCAGAAACAATTAGAGGATGTAACATTTAAAAAAAGACACCTGTCTCACACGTCCTGTCGGTCCTCAGGTGACACGGTGGGCTTCGTGGTTCCTCGCAGGTCAGGTGGTTATGTTGCAGGTGTGGGCCGCAGCATCGTGGCTGTCAATTGGTCAACTCAGATGGTGACATCATTGGTGGAGGTCGACGAGGACAAAAAGAACAACCGACTGAACGACGGGAAGGTCGATCCGATTGGACGCCTGCTGGCAGGTGAGTCTGGTTACCTGTGGAATCTGTCGGTTTACTTGTCTGAGGTAACCTTGTCATGGTAACAGTGTGTGGCGTCTCAGGTACGATGGGGAAGGAGGAGCGACCCGCCGAGGTTCAGAGACAACAAGGGTCTCTGTTCTCTGTGAACTCTAACCTCAGCGTGACCAAAAACCTGAGCCAGGTGAGTCCACTTTAACAATGCAAATGTTTCTCTGTGACCAAACACCTGAACAGGTACTGTCACCTGTCTGTCTCTCTGTACCTGTCTGTCTCTCAGGTGGACATATCGAACGGGTTGGACTGGTCTTTAGATCAGAAGACGTTTTTCTACATCGACAGTTTGTCTCTGACTGTCGACGCCTTCGACTACGACTCAACCAGCGGACACATCGGTAACGGTGTACTTATACTGTAGTACGTGTATGTATTTATACTTCAGTACACAGAGATACACGTTTGATGTGTGTGTCGCCTAGGTAACCGGCGTGTGGTGTATCGTATGGAGGAGGGGGAGGGGCTTCCTGACGGGATGACAGTTGATGCTGATGGTCGTCTCTGGGTGGCCTGTTACAACGGCGGAAGAGTCATCAACATCGACCCTGTTACTGGTTAGTTATAGTGGTTGTACTGGTCAAGTTACAGAGGGCTTTGTGCTGTGTTGAACATTTGACAGTTAAAAGCATCAATCACGTCCATGTTAAAGATTAAGAGGGTCTATGAAGACCTTGTAAACATTTTGTATTTATAGACACAAAAGGTGAAGATTGGAAGTCACCCAGACAAACTGCACGGACTCCAACAATTAACAAATACTTTTGGATCATTATGAAACTGAAGAACTAAGTCGAGGTAGTTAATGGTGTGGTTGTTCTAAACTGATGATGATTACCTGTGTTCTCTCAGGTGTGCGGCTGCAGACGGTCTCTCTGCCGGTGATGAAGACAACCTCGTGTTGTTTTGGAGGTCCAGACTACTCTGACCTTTACGTGACCTCAGCCAGTCTGGGCCTCGACCAATCAGGGAGAAGACAACAGCCGCTGGCTGGAGGCACGTTCAAGGTGAGACTCACCTGCACCACCGGCTCACCTGCACCACTTACTCGCCTCTACCACTTACTCGCCTCTACCACTTACTCACCTGCACCACCGACTCACCTGCACCACCTGACTAAGCCCTGTTCTCTCCCTGTTAACATCAATATTTTACCGGTCATAAGGAAGAAGAATCCCCATAATTTCCGAAGGAGCCTCTCTGTTAAATAGAGGTTTATCGCCGTGCAATTTGGAGCTCTGGTGCAGAGTTTGAACCAAGAATTTGAAGGACCACGTCGACCATTAAGAAGTCATCTCACAGTAAGAGGCTTAGTTTGGTGTCTGGGCATAATTGGGTCATAGTGTGTTTATTACCTTGCTTGTTTTGTTTTAAGTTTGCTGTATTGTTATAACGTGATGTTGTGTATGCACACGGACCGCCGAGTTCCGTCAGTGCTGTGCAAAAACTGCTGTTGGATTTCATACTGCTGTAACCGTGTTGTGATAGATCGGTCACTGCGAGTGAGGTTGGTAATTATTTTATCAGTTCAAAGATCAGAATGGCGGCTGGCTGAATCTAAGTTTGCTAGTCTGGTTTCTGTGTGATAGAGTAACAGTCTCCGTATTTTGCTGTGGTGGTGAGGATCTGCCTTGCTTTGAGTGTCTCTCCCCCCTTTTTATTTTTCCTCTTTCACTAACACACACACACTCTTAAAAATTATTTGTTGATTTTAGATAGTAAGCTTTAATCGACTCACCTGTAGCACTGACTCACCTGTAGCACTGACTCACTGTGTGTTTACAGGTGACAGGACTTGGGGTCAAAGGTCGGCCTTCAAACTCGTTCTCTGGATGATCACCTGTCGTATGCAGGAAGTGATCAACCCTGTGAAACTGTGAGCTCACTGTTGATCAAAAATAACTATTTACTTATGATGTAATGTTTATTTTCACAAAGTATTTGCAGCAGTTTGTAACTGTAAATAAAAAAATGATGACGACACAATGAGTCAGAAAAAACTATCAATAACAAATCAAATGAGGAAACTGTCACAGCCAATCAGGGTCTTTCTCAATATGCGTACTTCTCTGTACTTGTGGAGTTGTGAAACGTCATCAGTCTCAGCCCAAGTACTGTTCCAATTCAAAGTTCACATCAAGCCAAGCTAGGTCCAAATGCCCGGATGTGGCTTTCTCCGTCCATTTTACCGAGGATGCATCGGAGGTGACTTGTCTGTACTTGGGACAGCCAAATATCCCAGAATGCATTTTGCACCAGCAACAGGAAACAATGGCGGAGGAGAAATCACAACTGGAAGTTGAAACACTACTGTTAAGTCGCAGAAAGTAATTTGAGGATGTTTTACGCGAGAAGTTAGTTGTTTAAGCATCAAATCTGTGGTCGCTTTGTCAAGATTCAGCCGATTTAAAAATCTGATCCGACGATTTCGGAGATGTGAGGTGTTGCTAGCGGGACCGGCAGTAAACCAGCACCGGGGGCTCAGCGCTCATGTTACCCGCCTAGAACTGCCTGATCTCGGCGAGTCTTTTAGAAACTTGCCGATGGTATTGACGGCAAAGCATACAGCAATCCGGATCTGATCCATATATATATATACGTATATATATATATATATACGTATATATATATAGATAGATAGATATAAGATAAATGATATATATATATATCATTTTTTATTTTAAATGAAAATGAAAAAAGCAGGGTTGACATATTTAGTTTGATTGTAAACATACTTTACAGTAAAAAAAACCCAGATTAAACTCATTAGCAAGACCAGCTGAGGTGGTGATGTCATCAAGTTAGCTGCTGTTCCAATTGTCCGTACTGCGTTCTCTGAAAAAAAGTACTCCAAAAGTTCACAAGTCCATACTTGTGAACTTGGGTATTGGGAAAGGCCCCACGTGTCTTCTTGTTGCTGTGCACCGACTAAATGTGTCCCCAGAGCTACATTGGACCTAACAATAGTTCCTATCACATCTTACATTATTGCGTTACAGTCAATTAGCAGACGCTTTTATCCAAAGTGACTTACAATTCAGATTCTATCACATTTCTACACGGTAGGCACAGCTACTGGAGCAATTTTGGGGTTAAGTGTCTTGCTCAAGGACACATCGACATGCGACTAATGGATCCGGGGATCGAACTGCCGATCCTCTGATTGAAGGTCGGCCCTGCTCTCCACTTAGCCACAGTCGCCCACATATAAAACCAAACAAAAATCCCTCTACATAAAAACAAGTTGTACAAATAGATAAATAAGCATCTTAAAGCAACTGCAGATGTACAAACAAACGCATTTAACTTACCAGAGCTGCTGTTCACTATTTAAAGACGAGAGTCCATCCTCCTTTCTTTGTTAACAAAGAGTTTAATCTCACGGTTGTTCAGTACATCCGTGTGTTTTAGTTCCAGTAAGAAGTCCTTCTCCATTCATAGACGCCAGTGAAGACAGTCGAGCCTTCCATTGTATTTCTTGAATACGTTTTAATGGTTTGAGGCTGAAAATGGTCCGCTCCACAGAGGCAGCAGATATTGGGATTGTCACCGCCCAACATGTCAGGCTAGCCCACTGACCAATCACGTACTTGTAGGCCAGCTAGCAGGCTCTGACACGTCAAAGAATACGCCCAACATGTCAAACTAAAGATCTCATTGGTTGAAGAATACGACAATCAACAATATCATCCCCATTCACTTAAACTGCACATGGATGCACTTGTGAGTCTGCAGGCCTCTGCCTCTCTTCTTACCTAGAGACACAGAGGTGAAATCTGATTGGATAAAAGCTTTACTTAAAACAAGCTGCACTGGAAGCAGAGAAGGCCTTGCAGGCCCTGACGGCCCACCACTGATGCTATATGAACAAAAGGTCAATAACATTTGGTTTAAACACATCAGGTTGTTGTTAGCAGCAGTATTCCCTTTACACAGCAGCAGTTCTATCTCTTCACTATCTGTGCTCAGTGTGTGACTGTGTGTGAAACAGGAATAACATGTTTCACATGTTTCATTTACATGTGTGTGTTGTGTCTTCATGACAGTCAGAGCATGTGAATGCAGCTCTACTGTTCATCACTATAGCTGTAACTCAGAGGTGATGATGGTGACCCAGCTCTACTCTTCATCACTATGATGCTGTAACTCAGAGGTGATGATGGT